GGACGGTGCCTGGTTCTCTTGAAAACCGATGTAAAATTACCCTGACCCACAAGGGTATATTATATAATATTATATTACACAAATGCTCTATTGAAGTATCGATTCCTCTAAATCTTTGATCCTAATCAGTTGACAAATTAAATGAAAAGTTCTTACAACATCATTTCTTCCTTCTAATTTTATTGAGTGTTTTGTTACCATCGATTTACTTATAGAATTTATCTATGTTGAGGAGATCCAGGAAACTTCTTGAAAAAAAAAGTCTAGAAAGGCTTTGAAAACACTGAGAATCATTTTATCCAATCAGCATTCAAGAGAAGTTTTGCCAGAAATATCATGAAAGTGAGAAGTCATATGTTGAATTTCTGATTGGATGATTACTTATACTACTACTATGTTTAGTAGCATTTTAGAATTTTTGGAAAACCCAAGACCGTCTAAATAACTATAAGAACCCTAGATTTTCTGTACATAAATGAACCTTTGGAGTAAAGTGTTTTTTTTTACATATTTCGCACCTTTTCTCTCATGTTCAAATCGCTGTGTAATTCTAGTATTGGGGGTGGGGGTTAATAGAAGAGCTTAGGAACCGAATTTAGTGTTTAGTTAGCAAGACTTATCAATCTAGTCTTCTGATGATTCATAAAAGCAAATCAGAAATGAATTGTGTTCCTTTATTTACATTTCAAAAGGTATTCTGGAAACTGTTAATACCTTTGTGATAGAAATTAATTTTAGAAGATATCAAGCTCAATATTACTGTTCTGTCTTCTATTAACCAAACATTCAGTCACAACGAAGGACCAGGCACATATATATGCATTGGTCCAAGTTGTTATACCGCATTAGCACAGCAATATGAACACCGGATTGCTACCTCTACGTGGTGGTCGGGCTTGCCTATCGTAATTAATCAATCGAGCTATACTGGCTGAAACAATCGTTCCTCAAGGTCTTACCATGCTACACAGGTCGGTTGAAGAGTGATAAGACTGAAAGAAATAGACCCAAGGTCCGAAGGTGAAGTCATACTGCTTACTGTACAGAGGTGTGACAGCAGTAGGGTGTTTCCTTCAGACAACCAGCATGAGAGCGATGCTGCCTTCCCACAAGGAGAGGTGGGGTTAGAAAAGGTCGATTCTAACAATCCACACTTCACCATATCCCACGGATATTCGTCTCCGGTGGTAAGATATCAACAAGTACGGAGCTAACACAAAAATTACTCACAAAAAGATTGTGTGTGACCGATCTCAAGCAGTTATCCCTTGGGCAGTGTGGTCTCTAAGACCACCTTTAATCCAATTTTCTTTTCAGGCACCTCTAGAAGAACCCTTCCACAGTGTGAGCAACCGGGAAGTGATAACCACTCTCATACCTCTAACAGCACTCAAGGCCACTGTCTTAGCCAAACACTTGATGAACAACCATTTCTCAGTCAAAACAGTGTCAATCTCTTAGATCTATTCGATTTATTTTTTAAGTACTGTTTATTTGTGTAAGATATCTATCCAGTTATTTCTGATTTGTAATAGCAAATAATGAGTTTGGCTGCTACCAAAAGATTTCTGATAAGAAAAAAAGCATGTCACATGAATGGGCTTATCGATATATAATACTCTATTAGTGCCATTCGATTCAAACGCTATCACGTTATCCACTTAGCTACTGAGTCCTGATAGCCACCTGCTCGTGCAATGAGTTGAAGTTCAAATTCACTTGGTGTTGTTTTACTTGTATCTTCCTATTGTTATTTAGCACTGCAATTTATCAGTCTGTTATTGGCATATGTGCATAGTGTGTGGATTGCCTCGATATTGCCTTAATTTAACAAGCATTATAAGCGGTACTAGGTTCGAGTGCCAGAGTGAACATCAACCCTGAGATGCAGGTACGTCCAGCTGACGAGTCCCAAATAGGCAGAAACGCACATCCTGTATTCCGCTGCTAGCAATTATCCATCTTTACTTATAATGCTTGTGACTTAAGGCAATACGCACAGTATGCACATATGCCAACATGAGACTGATCAATTGCAGTCCTAAACATCAATGGGACGATTCAATTAAAACAATACCAAGTGGAGTCATACTGTGGTGTTTGAATGAAATAATGATTTCTTTGTACTTGTTGAATGTCTGATTTCGAATTCTAAATACAATGCATTCCTTAGTGCTTGTGTAGTACTTCTTGATTCAATTGCGTTATTTCTGGGATTCTTAGTTCATACTACAATTCAATTACTCCTAATACTCAATTAATTTTGAAACATGCAAGTGAGCTGATACGGTCTTCTTCAGAAATTTAAGACGTAAGCACTTCAAGCTGAAGTTTGTACTGATGATGTCATCCAGAAGAATGATGAAAGCTTCACAACTAATCCATCCAGTTCAGAGAAGAAAATTCCATCCAATCTATTCTATGGTCTAAATAGTCTCAAAAATATCTTTTGAAGAAACACTCAAAGTCGTGTGTAACAATCTCATAGTTGAGACAGATATAAACACAATTATTCATTATTTTGTCACTTACAGGATAATACATGGGAATATAAGAAATGTAAAAGATTTGTAAACTTTGTATATACTCTAACACTATTATTATCTCAACATTCAGTTTGTATAATGAGTCCACATATAGTTCATTGAGTGCTGTTGGAAATATGAGGGCGGTTATCACTTCCTAATTGCCCACACTGTGGAAGGGTTCTTCTGGAAAATTGGATTAAAGGTGGTCTTAGAGACCTGGGAGCGTAGCCTCACTGCCCAAGGGATAACTGCTTGAGATCGGTCACATACAATCTTTTTGCGAGTAATTTTTGTGTCAGCTCCGTACTTGTTGATATCTTACCACCGGAGACGAATATCCGAGGGATAAGGTGAGGTGTACATCTTTAGGGTCACTAATTTCTTATCTGAGCCATGTTGGTAGATGCAGACTACTTGGTTGGAGTCCGTGTGACTATCGTAACAAATGATTGGAGACCCTGGATGACATGGCTCAGAATCGATCAAAACGGCATAGGTGTATACACTCTCTGTCTTTCCTTAAACTATGAGATTAAAATCGCTTGATATCTTTCTTTCTAACTACTAATTCTTTCTTCCTGTACTATATCTTTCTTCTATATATTACCACCATTGAATTAACTACTTCTGTGAATTTGATGTTCGTCTTGTTGTGCTAATTAGGCGTGGGATTTTGGACCGATACACATATGTACCCGGTTCTACGTTGTAGCTGACTGACTACAGATAATTCATAATCTACAGCTCTTTATGTTGACAAATTAGAGTAATTCATCAAATCGAAGTCCGAAACTTCAGTTTATATTACAGGATACATATATATTTTTAGTTACCTAGTGATTATGGACGTTATGTCGTAATGTTATGAAATGATATAAAATGCGATTGTTATTGATTTGATACAAACGGAGCACATAAATCTTTATTTTGATCTTTGTATAATTGTACTACTTAATGTTATTAAGTAATACACATTTATTACAGTACGTTTTTGTTTGTACAAGTTGTATAAACAATTGTATCAGTTGACAAATTCAAATCAAAAAGACCGCCAATATTTACATAATATGATGTAAATTGATTACCTTACTTTCTCTTCAACTACACACAAACTCATCAGTTCAATTAATTCCAATCATTAATATAATGTTAACAATCATTTGTCAATTGGTTATAGTTATACATTAACGCTGTTGGATGCCGGCCGGTTTAATGGTCTAGAAAGCCCTGGGTTCGAATGCCGCGAATGGAGTCGTGGATGTACACTGCTCAGGAGTCCCACAATAGGATGAAACGGTCATTCAGTGTATTCAGGTGTTCAATGGTGGTCTAACATCAATCGGTTCATCATCTTAATTTCCACAACCCCATACTGATAATAACAAATAAGTTGTGTGTAATTTGTAAGAAGTAAAGAATTAAAGTTTTAAGAAAGAAGTTCTGTTTAGAACTGTTTGATTTATCTTTGCTTCTTAACGATACTCTTTTTATGGGGAACAATTGAAATGATTGACCAACATTCACAAGTTATATTGATAACGCACATACAACTCATGTAGTTACTAAGATCTCATATTTAGATGCATAGTGAATATTCACATTCGATTAAACAATGAATGTCATAGACAACCAGATAATCTAGTTATGAGATCACCGCTAAATTCCCATTTAGGCAAAACAGGAGAGTGGACCATTCAAAGACATAACCAGTCAGCTAAAGTTCTACTGTCCCTTCACAGACCATAAATATATAGGAAATCAGATTATCTATTTTCACAGTTCGATAACAATCAGATATAAAAAGAATTTGATTTTTTTTAAATCCCCACTCATTGTACTAAGATGTTTTACATTGATGATACTACCAAGTATGAATTAAACAATACCTATATCCTTCTTAATGAGAACCATCATCCTACTAAACTCATTAATCAACATGTGAACAAGACAAAAATCAGATTATCAAAAGAGGTTTTGGGGAAATTTTAGAAATTTCACTAGTTGAAATCATGAGTCCATTGAAGCTAGACCAACATGGAAAACCTGGAAGCTCTGAACGGCCGTTTCGTCCTAGTACGGGACTTCTCAACAGTGCGTATGCACGACCCCGCCTCCCGAGATTCAAACCCAAGAGCTATAATTTCGAAACCCACGAGGCAGGGTCGTGAACGCGCACTGCTGGGGAGTATCACAATAGGACAAAAAGGCCATCTAGTGATTCCAGGTTTTCCGTGGTGATCTAGCTTCAATTGGCCCATGATCTCAAGTATTGAAATTGCTTCTAGTTTTGATGATGATGATGATGATGATGATGATGATGATGATGATGATGATGATGATGATGATGATGAGATGATGATGATGATGATGATGATGATGATGATGATGATGATGATGATGATGATGATGATGATGATGATGATGATGATGATGATGATGATGATGATGATGATGATGATGATGATGATGATG